GTCTTACAGAAGAGAATTAATTATCAAAAGGTTCCAATAACAACCTCAACAGCCTATGATAACAAGTCCTATAGTGAGAATGACAACTTTTGTGACTTATTTTTTTAATTATTTTTCTTACCTGGGACATCATTGTAATTTTCCCAACTTTTTAGTTCCCAGACATATGATTATTTTTATATATGAACAATTGCAATTTAATCCCCCCCGACCCCGAGTACAGTTTACTTGCATGCATTATCTTGTACTCCCTCCAATTTTATACAGATAACATCTCGACCTCACGTATGGGTTGGTGGTCCTATGCATAGCTAACAATTCATGTTTTTTTGAAAATTTAATACTTTTTTTTATTTTTATCACACTTAATTACGTGCCTCCCGTTTCTTTTTTTTCGCTCGTTACTTCTCCCTCGTCATCTTCATAAAAAAGCATGCTTGAAAAAATTATAACCTTTGCATATTTATTACTTTTAACTAATATTTTGATCTACATAATTTTGGTTAATAGTAATTGTTAGCACCTGTATTCGCTCTTATGTTCTTTTTTATAAGAACCTGAAATTTGAATTGAATTGTCTTGGTCCTTTTTATAAGATCCTACTTGTAGCTATCTGAACATTTAATTCTTTTTTTTATCATTTTTGTCCCTAATTAATTTTATAGATTGTATTAATTAAAGGGTTTTCCTATATTCTCTTTCATACTTTATCTCTCTTACTTGTCCCTTATAAATAAGAGCATGCTTGAAAAAAGTTTATTTCTTGCATATCTATTAGTTTTAACTATTTTCTTAAATTGCATAATTTAGTTATCAGGTTTCTATAAACAAAAAATAGAGGGAGTAAAAGGCAAGAAGAAATAGCTCCCAGGTTGAAGAAGATGAACATATTAAATACAAAAAATTTTAAGTTTTTTATCCACTTTATGAAACCATAATTGGCTGTTTCTCTCTCTCACTTACACACGCCACCCCAGCAAGCAAAAAGCAAGGGGAGTGGAGAGTTTGAGAAGGAAAAAAAAAAAAAAGTAAGGCGGAGGGAAGGAAAGCTTTGTTGTCTTTAGTGTGCGTTGAGTTGTGAGAAAAAGAAAGAGATGCTGATTTGAGGGGCTTGGTGGTGGGCAGAATCAGCAACATCTCCCTTCCCTTTCAGTCTTCCAACCATAACACATTATTATTCCCAATCATTATATTCACATCATTCCCATTTCTCCTCTCTCCTTCCCCTTTATTCATCCTCAATTTCAACACCCCTTATCTCCCCCCCCCCTACTTAGCCCTCTTTTTTCACTTATCCAATTAACTGGTTTATTTATACTATCTCATAATAACTACAAACAAATTGTAAACCTCGACATCAATATACTACCCCCGATCTTTAATATAAGACCCTGCTTGATTTTTATTTTAATCCTAAATATAAGATTCTAATCCACTTTGTCTCTCATATTCATACATGTTTTTCCAAAGTAGCCCTTCTAATAATGATAGTTCTAATCAATATATTTGATTAGCAAGGATGTTTTAGGAAAGACAACACCTATCTAGGACAAATAACTAACTTAATTTACTTTCTTAATCTCTTCAAATTAGTTAATTGGCTCTTATAATTGGGATTGAAGGTAGTATATTATAGCGATCAGCTTTATATATGTGTCAGCCACATTATTATTTTTTGGTATGAACGTGTATTTGCACTATTGGATTGATTAAGAAAAGCAGGGTAACTCTTGGAATAAGGCAAGAGACACACACGCTCATTATATTGGAAACATACGGTCATTTATTATTAGTTTAAAGAATAGTTTAGTTATTGGAGAAGGACGGACATGTGAGGAATAATAATATGTTAATGAATTTGATATTCAGCTGTCAAGGCCAAATCATATGCCCAAGTACATTCTACTCACTCGCATTACTTGTGATTTGGTGAGGGAGAAGAAACAAGAGAGAACTTAGAGAAGCATAGGAGACAATTCTAACTAACATTTTTCCTCTATAGTAAAATTGCGAAGTAAAAAAAAATTTTTTTTTGCCTGGAAAAATAATCTTACTATAAATAGGACTCTAAGCAACCTAGTTCTAAGTTCTAACTCAATTTTCAAGCAAAAGAAAAAAAATTATAAAAAAGCGAACCCTCTTGAGCAAGAGAGAACATTATAATTCTAAACCTAATCCAAACGATTTATTTATTAAGTGGGGAAAGCTTTCCGACAGAATTTGCGATATCGCATTTTAAATGACAAGACACTCATTTTATTGTTAGAACTTGGCGACAGGAACTTACTGTTGGTAAATTCATTACAAAATAGTACCATATTCAGTTGTTAGTATACGAGTTAATTAAGAATTAGACTTCATCTTAAATATAAGATTTTAATTTATTTTATTTCTTAGTTTTTAAAAAAATATCCCTACTAATGATTACAAGGGTTTTTATCAATAAATAATTCTAATCATGTAATACATTTGATTAAAAAGAATGATTTAGGCAGACCAACATATATTTATAATAAATAACCAACTTAACTAATTTTATTAATATTCTCAAATTAGTTATATAGGGTAGAAATACATATAGGGTTAATACAATATGTATATTATTAGGATAAATGATGCGCACCACTGAACACTTTGGAAAGAAAAAAAAAGAAAAAAAAAGAGGAGGGATGAAAAGGGATGATGAGGAATATGAGCACAAAGATGCAATGAGCGATAACTGCTGGTTGGGAAAAGGCATCTCCCACATATCTCACGTATAATTGTAGGGACAATGAATTTGCTTCTTATTTTAAATGTGCAGAGTGGGATGGATCAACACTAGCTCATTAAAATATATTATATAATACAATCTTCATAATATACTAATATTAATCATCCTCCCCCTTTTTCGTTTCAATTTTCATTAACATTATTCTTTCAAGAAAGTGTTGGCAATTAAATTAAAAAAACATGTAAAGCAGCTTATCATGACGGTCCCAAGTGCTCAAATAATTCTTCATTCCAAAGGCTCATCACCACCTTGCCTACAACCATATTCCTTCTCACTGGTCAGTATAAAAGTTAGTTAAAGAGGAATTTTGGTTATAAATATAAAACTAATCAGTTTATTTTATCTCTCGTATTTATCATTTTTTTGAAATTAACATATTTAACTTGTAAAATGATACATAATGTACGACACATAAGAATATTTTAAGGAGATCCTCTTATATTTATTACAATTAAATAATTTATTATCTTTATTAATTCATCTAAATTAATTAAATAATTCTTATGTTAAATATTAGATGAGTATAAATTTATTTAATAAGCGCCCACACATGATTATTCTGTGTGATCTTGGGGAAAAAACAAATCCGAATCTGAGAATACGTATGAGTAGTGGGCTAAATATTCTTCTATACTGGTCAAACCTCTAAGACAAATGTGAAATGAAGAAAAACTCATCCAAGTAGGCATTTCCTTGCATATCCTTGAACTAAAATAGTAGTATATGGGTCACGTCCTCTGAGGAATCATTCTTTTCTTGTTCAGAATATACGATGTGAAGGCTCATGACCATTTCTCATTCTCTTATAACGTCTCTACCTATTACCGGGCAATAATATAATTTGTCTCCTCCTTTACATTCTTCTTTTGGAAATTGTCTATCTTTTTTTTTTTGTTGTAGGAAAGTTTAGATGAGTTGAGTCCGGAGGCTTATTAGAGTCAGGACATGCCTCCAAACTCAAAAAACACTTACAAAGGTATTTACAGATTGCCCACTAACAAGTTCATTACATCGGCAGCGGATTCAAACTCACGACTTTGTGCGTTATAAACTGATTTCTTACCAACTGGACTAACTCTTGTTGGTGAAATTGTCTATCTGTTGCATGAAGTATTTTGGAAATTGTATGTGATATTGAAGGGATTGATTTATTCATGTAATTATCTGTATTAGTGGTTTTGACGCCAATTTTATTTGGTATTTAGTTGCTGCCATGGAGGGTCCTTTTTTTCCTTTTAAAAGGACACTGTGCTCCTTATGAAAATAGTGATGAATATGCATTTTATGCTGGATAATTAAATTTAGCTGAGTTGGTTAAAATAAAAAAAATAGAAAAATATTGTTTCAGTTCATCTCAAGTATGATATGAAATTTTCATAATGTAATAAATTTGATCATAAAAAAAAAAGAAAAGCATTTATATAGGCTTGAGATCAAGTTTAGCATACGAGGAAAAGAACTTGGATAATACTCATGTCTTTACTCTTTAATATAATTTGATCTTAAATACAAAATTGTAATTAATTTTATTTTTTATATTTATTTATTTGTTTTAAAATAGTCCTTGCAGTAGTCACATATTAAATGTTATATTAAATAGTAGTTTTAGTTAATACACATAATTAGTAATGATATTTTAAGGAAGATAATATCTATTTATTATAAATAACTAACTTAAAATTTTTTTTAATCTACTTAAATTAATCAATTAATTTTTATATTAAGAACAAAAAGTAGTAGAACCTGAATTACAGAAATTCAAAATTAAAATTAATTAGAATAAAAAGGAAAAAATTTAAAAATTTCAGAGGGAAAATTTGAGAAATCCGAAGGGGGCCCACATGAGCAGCGTGGTGGGAGAATGAGAGTGGGGAAATTATTATTGATAAGTACGCCACTCACACCTGGCAGGTCAAGGCCCCTATCATTTATTAATTTTCCCCTTCAAAAATTCACAAAACCAAAAAAAAAAAAAAAAGGGTCGCAGCGAATACCAAAATTCTGCCGGGGTAACTCCAGCCAATCCTGTTGCCTGCTTCGAAGCAGACAACGATACAGACGGCACCTGACGGTGACGGTGCCTCCCTAACGGTTTCCGTTACCCCTATCTCACGCATCTCGATGCAAACTTCTTCTATTCAGCCAACACTTGGCCGTTATCCTTGACGACGTCCCCGACAATTCAGACCCATTGCCGTTACGAGCGCCGTCCGGTTAACTGGCTCTGCTGTTAAATATCCTAACCACGGTTTGTGCTGTGTCTGGTAGGAAGGGAGAGAGGGAGACACACAGAGTCGCCAATACACGCGAAACGAGCTGCCCAGCGACCTTTATGTTCTGTATAATAAGACGCGCGCCAAGTGGTTTTGGTTATTCTTTGTGACGCCGTTTCCTGGATTCCTTGGAGAAAGCTTTGCAATCTTGGAATGCTTTGGAGGGTGGGAGGGAGAGAGAACGCGACCTTCATTTCTGACTCGAGAATCACTTCAGCATTAGTGGCTTTGGGAGCTGCCTGTGCGGTTTGGTAACGATTGCTGCGAGTATTGCCGGGTTTGCGTTACTCTTCCGGCGGAGATCGTTACGCTGTGTGTAAAGCGTGATTGTGGATTTCAAGAGTCGGAGCTGTTCTGATTGTTGATAAATTGTTGTCTAACGGTTCTTCCCGATTGTTTTATAGCGCCTTTAAGTGTGATGGTTGTGAACATATAATGAGGATTCAGATTTGTTAAAAGGATTGCTTGACCTCTTTGACTCTTTGTTGTTGACGTGTGAGTTGAGTGATGTTGAATCGTGGAGGGTCTTTTTCGATGTCTTCGGCTGAAGGTGAGAATCAGATGGTTCTTGCTTTTCTTTCTTTGGATTCTTCGGTCAGTTTATAGAAATAAACCATCAAGTTTGGCTTCCTTTTGCGGTCTGTTAAGCAGGTAGTTGTGGAGGGGATGATCTGTATGAAGAACTATGGAAGGCCTGCGCAGGACCTCTTGTCGACGTTCCTCGGGCCGGCGAGAGGGTGTTTTATTTTCCACAAGGACACATGGAGCAAGTAAGTTACTTTGATAACTTCTTCTATTTCTGATCCTTTCTGTTTTGTTTTAGAAGGGTAGACTTTTAACCCACCTATTTTTTTCTTCCTGAGGTGGATATGCCTCCATTAATTTGCGTTTAAAATTGAAATTGCCTTCGTATTTATCTTGGAGCTGTAAGAATGTCATAAACTTGGTTTAAGTCTATTTTTCTTTTTTCAAAATTTACTTTTTTCCCTCTGCTGTAGTTGGAGGCATCAACAAATCAAGAACTCAACCATCGGATTCCGGTGTTCAACCTTCCCTCAAAGATCCTTTGCCGTGTAGTGAACGTTCATCTGTTGGTAATTTTCTTCCTGGACCTCCTCCTTTTATCTCTTTCCCTGAAAATACTATTTCTTTTTCGTTTTTTTTTGGTGACAGAAAATACTATTTCTGTTTACTGAGAAAATGGTCATTTGAATTCTGGAGTACTAGGTATACAATGTGTAGTTATAGGTGCCATGTTTTAAACTTCATAGCACCTGTTATTTATACATCAATTAAATTTTATTACTTAGATAATGGATTGGAAGTGAAAACTTACCTTAAACTTTCATATGTTTAGGCTGAACAAGAAACTGACGAGGTTTACGCACAAATTACTCTGGTGCCAGAATCCAATGTAAGGATGTAGCTGCCTTTTTTCTGATTTCAAAAATTTTCGTGGACAACCTTAGATTCTTTCTACTATTGCTTAGATTCTAATGGAACAAATATGTTAGCAAAATGAGCCTACTAGCCCAGATCCATGCCCTGCCGAACCTCCAAGGCCAGCAGTTCACTCATTCAGCAAGGTTTTGACGGCATCTGATACAAGCACCCATGGTGGATTCTCTGTTCTCAGAAAACACGCCACTGAATGCCTTCCTCCGCTGGTAAGGACTCTTGAAATGGTCCAATTTCATCATGGCTTCTACTTCCTACTTCCGGATCGTTGTCTTAATGACATTACCATGCATGGATTTCATTTAGGACATGTCCCAACCAACTCCTACTCAGGAATTGGTTGCCAAAGATCTTCACGGTTACGAGTGGCGCTTTAAGCATATATTCAGAGGTAAAGGGCTTGAGTAGATTTATAATCTAGTCCTTGTAATTAAACATTCGGGTTGCCCCTTTTTTTTTGTTTTGGGTGAAATTTGGTTGCCTAATTTTGTTTTCATTAATGTTTACGTTTGCCTCCAGGTCAGCCTCGTAGACATTTGCTCACAACTGGATGGAGTACTTTTGTTACTTCGAAGAGATTAGTTGCTGGAGATACCTTCGTGTTTTTAAGGTTCATTTGCTGCTTTCCTTTTTCATGGTTATATCATTACATAGCTCAGAAATCTTGTATATGGCAGAATCCTTATTATCTATTCAACTGTACAAACCTTAGCTTAAATAAGATCTTGTAATATTTATATAGAGGGTTCAGTGGAGAATTACGTGTTGGAGTGAGGCGTCATGCTCGTCAGCAGAGTAGCATGCCATCATCCGTAATTTCCAGTCAGAGTATGCACCTAGGAGTTCTTGCAACTGCCTCTCATGCCGTTGCAACCCAAACTCTTTTTGTTGTCTACTATAAACCAAGGTAGATTTTTTGCCTGCTCCAAGAACAAGATTTGTCTAAGTATTAGATATTTGGGGATGATTCTTGATATAGGATTTTTATTTGATTATCTTAAATTTATTTTATCAGGACAAGTCAATTTATCATAAGCGTAAACAAGTTTCTGGAGGCTATCAACAATAAGTTTACTGTTGGTATGAGGTTCAAGATGAGGTTTGAAGGGGATGAGTCTCCTGAAACTGACAAGAGGTACTAAATTTACTGTTGTAGTTTGTTGCCCTCATCTTTTTTCATGGAGATTCTAATACTTGGTTGATTAGATTTTCGGGCACTATTATTGGGGTGGAAGATATTTCTCCTCACTGGGTAAATTCGAGCTGGCGATCACTCAAGGTATTTTCTGCTGTCACTTTGAAGTTGTTTGCCTTCATATCTGGAGTGATTGTGTCATTAATCATATCTACTTTTCTTTCTATTGTGGTACAGGTTCAGTGGGATGAACCTGCAGCTGTTCCAAGACCAGATAAGGTTTCACCATGGGAAGTGGAACCTTTTCTGGCTCCCGTTACTTCATCTTCAGTTCAACCTCCCGTTGTGAAGACCAAGCGACCTCGGCCACCCAGTGAAATTCCAGATCTTGGTGAGAACTGATTTTGTTTAACTCTTCTCAATTCTTATAGAGATTGCGTAAATTTCTCTTGACCTCTACGTTGTGATTACAAACTAGACACAACTTCCACTGCCTCTGCCTTCTGGAATTCTGAGCTGATGCAACCTGATATTAACCGACTCGGAGCTATGGCTGAAAGCAATAGGAGTGAAAATTCTGGCATGTGGCATCACAATCAAGCTGAAATGAATAGTAAAAGCAGCAGCAACACTCCTTCAAGAAATCAAACAGAAGGGAGTTGGCTGTCGTCTCCCCATTCAACCGGTCCTCCGCAACTGTTGCAGGACACAACAGATGATGGCAAGAGCGTCTCTGCTTGGCCTGTTCACTCAGTTCATTCAACCACTCACTTGTTGCGACAGAACAATGATCATCTGCTTGAACAAGCTGGCAAGGAGAATAAAGTTGAGATTGCTACAAGCTGTCGGTTGTTTGGGATTGATCTTATTGGTCATTCCCAAAATTCAACTGCGATGGAGAAGGCACCTACACATGCAGCTGGTATACTTAATGGCCCTTCTGAAAGTCATGTCAATGCCTTGTCTGGAACTGATTCAGACCATAAGTATAACATCTCACGGGCTTCCCATGAGGGAAAACAAGAACAGCTGCAAGTAAAGGAGACTCAGAGCAAGCAAATATGTTCCAGAAGTCGCACCAAGGTTTCAAATGCAGATTACTTATATTGATAATAATTTCAATATTTTGTGGTTAGTAAAAAATTCTGATGCTTTCCGCTGGTGTTCCAAACCTGCAAAAGGTTCAAATGCAGGGGGTCACAGTGGGTCGTGCTGTGGACTTGGCCATTTTGGATGGTTATGATCAACTTATAGACGAGTTGGAGGAGATGTTTGACATAAAAGGACAACTTAAAGATAGGAAGAAATGGGAAATTGTCTTCACTGATGACGAAGGGGATATGATGCTTGTGGGTGATGATCCATGGCCGTGAGTATTCCTCTGAATATAATCTTAATCTTATGTCTCGGATCTTTATACTGCTTAGCATATTATACACAATAATGCAAACCTCTCACAATGCTAATATCTTCCTGTTGAATGCTGTTACTTTCTTGCAGTGAATTCTGTAATATGGTCAGAAGAATCTTCATTTGTTCCAGCCAGGATGTGAAGAGGATGAGTGCGGGAAGCAAATTGCCTATTTCATCAATGGAAGGTGATGGGACTGTAATAAGTGGGAGCACAGCTGAAACCTGAAACTAATGTTGATCTTTGTTTGGTCTCTGTTGTTGTAGTTCTTTGTGGGAAGGGAGTTGATTTATTTAGACGTAGGAAATTTGTAATTTCGACATGAAGGACATTGGCAAATTGAAGCTCAAGTTTTAGTGCTACTCGAGACTCCAGGCATGATGGGACTTTTAAGATCTGAAATAATAAAGTGCGTTTGTGGGAGAAAGCAAATGTAGGCTTTAGTGTCTGTGAAATATGCATGTTCATGTTAATTCTTATGATAATGATGGCCGGGAGAATGTGAATCCTAGCTGGTCAAAGGTCTATCTTCCATAGGGCAAGTCTAACCTGGTCTGGTGGATGTTTATTGCTGTGGTTTGAAGTTTGACATATGGTTGGGATCATTCAACCTGAATGGTCAAGGTCACGCTCAACAAACATTAAGCCTTGCGCCATCTCCCTCCCTCTACCCGGTGTAGGTGTAGGTGTAGGTGTAGGTGGCAACCAGGTTATGGTTTTTGTTGTAAACTGATGTCTCTTCAATTTGAAACTTTTTTTTGAGAGAAAACTGGATACTATATTAACCGACAGAAATACACACAGAAACAGACCCTGAAAACCAAGCTAAATACGGCCCTACCTGAGGTCTTTCATCACTTCCGCCCCTCGAATAAAAGGTTGTTGAATTTGAAACTTCCATTTCTGTTTAAGCGTGGGTTCGTGGCTTTGTGCCTTTAAATCGGTTTTTGCCCCATCTTTCGGAATCCCTAAGAAATTGATCAATATTTTTCTTCTAATGATGCAGCAGCACCCAAAAATCAAAACAAACTATTTACGAGTTTTTGGGTCTAGTAACACTGCTTCTGAAGTTTATGGTTTGACAGGGTTGGTGTTGTTCATTAGAACTGCGACATTGCAGGATTAAGCTATAAACCATACGAGAACCTGGATGCTCATTTTCCTGTTATGCATGGGTTTTAGTTAACCAATTGATCACATTGTCAGAATGTTTTGTGGTTGAAAGATTTGTTGCCGCCATGTCCAAAGGCTCTGCCGCCATAATTAATGCGTCAGCGCAAATAGAGGGAAATATTATGCGGCTGCCCCTCCCAGCCCACTCCTAGTTCTTAGAGAGAAGGGCCTATGAATCCATCATCCGTCCCTCAACTTTGTCTTTTATCTAATCTCATGTAATTAATTGAAAATGAGTATGCATTATTAAGTAAGGTCTTTATCGTGTCTAGGGGTAGGGCATAGGTTATGTGAGGAGGGTGCTTTTCAGGAAGGCTGCCATGTCCGAGAGAGACAGGGCAGCCTCGTCCATCGTTATCACCATTCTCACTGCTTCCCCTGCCTTCGGTTTCACCTCTGCAACGTCCCATCTTATAGCTACCAAATCCCAACGCTCGACACCTTCTTTTCTTTTTATAATTGCCTTTTGGGGCAATTTCATCATGTGAATAAATACTAATTAAAAATTTAAACAACTCAACTTTTCCTGTTCCAAAATTCATATTTTCTCATATACAATCCATTAATCCTTTATACAAATAATATTTTGTGTGAATTATTTTTTTATAACTTTTTTGTGCAATTCATCATTCAATTAATTTTTCAACTAAGGATTTATTTCTAGTCTCCCCTATCATCATTCAAATTTTGAATTTTTTTATAATTTAAAATGTTTTGATGCTTATTAGTTGTAATTAAATGAGTTTTTTTGAAACTAATTTGGGTTTCCCTACCGACTAAACAAACATGGAGGGCCTTCTCTCTACTTTACATAATCTCATTATGTTTTTCAACTTTTATTTTATAGCATATCAATTAATCATGACTTTTAACTATCATATCAAATAGTTCCTCGGTTCTAATTATAAGAGCTAGTTGACTAATTTGAGGAGATTAAAAAATAAGTTAAGTTAGTTATTTGTAATAAATAGGTGTTGTCTTTTCTAAAATATCCTTACTAATCAAGTGTGTTTGCTAAACTACTATTATTAGAAGGACTATCTTAAAAAAAATGCACAAACATTAGAGACAAAGTAAATTGGGATTTTATATTTATGATCAAAATAAAAGTTAAATAAGATATTATATTAAAGACCGAAAGTAGTAGTTCAACAGTCATATATAACGTCTTATGATTCTGGCTTCCAAAAGTTGCGCGTGAGAATCGGGAAGCTCATGATTAGAGACTATGATTTCATTACTTCTCAAAGACGCTAATCCCAAGGCATTTTTTAGTTAAAGCGTGCCCATTCCTGATACAAAACCTCGTACCTGCGCCTGCTCCTTGAAATATGTTTTGATTCACAATCTACACATTAAATCAATAACGAACAAAATTTTTAGGGACTCAGTTATATTTTTTAGGAATTAGTGTGAGGGACTGGGTTAAAAATGAATTAAATTTGAAGGACTAAAAAAAAATAATTTTTACTGTTTTTTTCCTCCTTTGAAACATATACCCACTGTGATCTCTTTTATAATGGACCAATAACTAATTATTAAGGATAAAAAATATAATTAAGATTAAGTGGGTAAATAAATATGCTGAAAATTAAAAAAATGTCTAAAATTTTAACCAATTTTATTCATTTTTGCCTCATTAGCTACCTTTTATATCACTCCATTAATTGTTATTTACCCGCTGACTTTATTTCTCCTCACAAGTAAGTGTATTTTAAAAATAAAACATATTTATTTATATACTTATTTGGTTGTTTGTTTCTTATATAAAAACCAGAGTCCAGACTCCAGAGGGAATAACAATTGACCTCATTAATAAATAATCTTTTTTAATGAGGTTATAAAAGAAAAATTTTAAATGTTTACACTGGCAATAAGTTGTTTATTATAAATATGATAAAAAAATCCTTTAAAAAAAATTCTATTTTTGAGTTATACAAAAAAAAAAAACCACCAAAAGGAGACGGGAAACACCAAGCTACATGCAAATAGAAAATATAATGTCGCGAAATAATAGTAATAATCAATAATTAGCAATTCAATAATTCATTATACAACATTTGCTAGCTCAAGGGAGTAGAGAAAACAGTGATTGAAATTGGGTGAACAAGTCTGGCCCCAAAAAAATTGGGTGAACGGGAAGAAACACCAAAAAGGGTCAGAACTGGGCTTGACGGGATGCTCTTCTTTGCCGGCTTCATTCAACTGCACTTCTCAATTTTGAGTAATTCCAATTCCAATTTGGTGACGATGAGAGGCAGGGGCTCAAAAGGGAAAACAGAGGAGTTGGTTTATTTGATGAACTATGCATGCATGGAGGCTTATAAATATGAAGAGGTTGAGAAATGTGAGGAATTGAAAGAGACATTAGGTAACAATATATATTTCCTCCTCTTTTTTTTTTTTTTTTTGGAATTACAATGGCAGACACTTACAATCTAAAGTTACAAGTTGCAACAAACCCGTGACATTTCGCTTACAAAGAAAAACTTACATATCACCAAGCTACTAAGCCATCACCACTGCAATATGTGTCGTTATTAGTTGGAAGAAGCAGAAGCAGAAGCAGAAGCAGCTTCGTCCGCAAGAGGAGGAGGTGGAGGAAGGGGTGGTGGATTCAGAAACTTGGTGGGAGGAATGATACAACATCTGCACAGTGGGCAAGTGGAGTGTGAATGGAGCCAATGGTAAATGCAATCTCTGTGAAACACATGCTTGCACTGAGGGATCTGTAATACGTCTTCTTTCATCTCAAATTCTCCCAGACACACACAACATCTGTTTCACCAAATTAGCTCACCTCAGAACAACATCATATGCAATCATTTAATCATTTACATTACATTACAAACACACACACCCAAATAACGTCTTCTTGTCCTCTTTTTTCATTGTTAATTTGTTTGTTTGGGAGGTTTTTCTAGGGTAAAGTAATATCCTGTGCCATAATGTTATCTCCTAATTGCATCCAATATTCTAATTTTATTTATGATGTATTTAATATTCTAATGTTATTGTTTGGTTGCACCCAACATCCCTTGATGTTATTTTTTGTTACATACAATACACTAATCTTATTTGTGATGCATACAATAACTTAGTGTTAATTTTTTTTGGTGCACCCATGATGTTATTTTTCTAGTCACGTCCAACACCCTAATTTTATTCTCGGTTTAAGGTTTTGGATAAACTAGAAGAAATAACATAAGAAAAGGATGTTTGATGCAACTAGAAAATAGCATTAGAGTGCTACATACCACCTCCGTTTATTAATATAAGAGTTAGTTTGACTTTTAATATGGTTTTAGATATAAGATCCTGATTTATTTTGTCTCTTATATTTATTTATTTTTTCTCCTAAAGTACTTATTATAGTGGTTGCATGTGTTAAATGTTTTATCAAATGTTAAAGCTAGCACATTTAATTAGCAAGGGTATTTTAAGGAAGATAGCACCTATTTATTACAAATAACTAATTTAACAAACTTCTTTTTACTTATTTAAATTAGTCAACTGACTCTTACATTAAAGACCGGAAGTAATATTACTTTATTTATTTTTTATATCCACAAGTTCTACGGAGGAGGATTCTTTATTCCACTTAGGTCACATTCAGACAGGTTGATCTTTTCTTTCGTCCGCTGAAACCCAAGAGATGTCATTGTTCATATATTCCACTTATCTTTTTTTTAATTTCCTTTTGCTGTAGCTCTTTTTGTGAAAATAGTAGATGCCGTAAATGTGAGATTCTGATGGAAAAAGAAAATAAGAAAAAGAGAGAAAGAAATTGAGAATTCAATTGAAGATACTGTTAATTAATGTTTTCGCATCTTTCAAAGAGCAACGGTTCCTAATAACATCGATCGAACTAATCTCAAAGACATGTCTCCTCCATTAGACATCATATCAAGGGCTTTCAATCAATTCTATGCATGCGATAGGATATCACAAGAAGCATCTAGCTGGTGTTCATGCTGTTTTAGCGCCAATAGCAAAAGAAGAACAGGAATCTATCAAGGAAGATAAACAAAGAAAAGAGAAGAAAGTTAAGATTGGAAACACTCACTGTGAATCTTTTTCTTTTAATTCTTCATCAAATAAAACTTTTGGAAGAGTGTCGAGGAACTGAAGCGTCAGATCCAAGCGACAAGGCTGCCAAAACAATATAGGGAGATTGAGGCACCAATATATGAATTGAAATCCCCAGAATTGAGTAAAGGCATATGTATAGAGATACAAATGATATAACAGAGAGAAAGAGGGATGAAGAGTGAGACTTACGGTGGAATGATAGGTAGTTGAAGGAGCAGTGGTGGGAAGAAAGTGGGGAGGGGAAGAGAGAGAGGAA